ACTTTCCAATCTTAAATTGTACACCACTTTTTAGACTGGGACTTACAAAGAGTACTTTTAAAATATCATTTGACGTTTTTCAGTTTTCCTCAAGTTATTTAAAATATTCAATAATTTCATTTTAATTATATCTGATTTACTTTTATTTTATTTAATTATTATACTTCTACTTTAAATTTTAGGGTGTTACACTCCTACTAGAGCATCCTCCTCTGCTGAACCAATAGTGGACCTTGCACCATACTTTGAAGCTGCAATACAGAAAAAGAGAGCAGCAGGTATACCTAGACCCCCATCTCCAGTAAAGAAAGGCACCAAGAAGAAGAAGAAGATACTTAGTTTTACTGACTGGAGATTGGGTGGATCCCAGAAAATTGATAGAGTTCAATTTGAAGAAATGAAGATGAAAATGACTCCCACACAACAACAGAACCTCTTCCTAGATAAGGATGGTGTTGTGCGAGTCAGATATGGGGGATCCCTAGAAGAAGCTGAAGATTGGTACCAGAAGAATGTTGTTCCTGGCAAGACAATTCATGAAGGAGTTCTCAGCTATTTGGATTGCAAGCTATCTCCCATACGGGCATCCTATCAAAGCTCTGGTAACCTATCTCAGATCAGAGCAGAAATCCATGAAGAGCTGCTAAGGCTTCAAAGATTGGAGGAAGAAGCTATGCAAGCAACCACTATGGAGAATGTGTAAGAAATAATCTCTGTAAACTGTATCTAATAAAATCACATCTCTGCCTTTCACTTTGTAAGGCTTTTTCTCAATTTCTGTCTCTTTGCTTTCTGCCTGTGTTTGTTTGATATTTGAATTATTATCTGCTATCTGAATGTACTCCACTCTTACTATTTTCCTATGCCAAGTTGCCCACCAAGTTTTTAATGGAAGTTTTAAACTTGAATTCTTTATGGTGAAGGCACTTCTCTGGAAATAGTTAAAGGGTTTTGGCATCATCAAAAAGGGGGAAATTGTAAGGAATATTTCTAATTAGATTTTGATGATGCTATATTAATTAGGACTTTAGAGTACCCCTCTTTAGACTTAATGTATTAGAATTTTCCTTTGTAAATTTCTTTAGTATAATCGACTGGCAGAAGGCCTCAAGAGCAGAAAGCCTCCAGGACAGAAGACCCCCTGACAGAGGACCCTTGATAAGGCGTTGGTTGAACAGAGGACTTTTCGTTCTCTGCTTTAGAACAGAAGACCTCAGGGTCTCTGTTATCCTTTACTCTGACAGAAACCCTCTTGGTTCTCTGTTGGATATCTTCTCAACAGAAGTGCTCAAGACCTTCTCTGATCAACTCTCTGCTAAAGACACCAGAAGGCCTGACACTTAGGAGAATTTCACCAAGTCGATAAACCAATTGAAAGATTCCTTCAACGGCTAGGAGTCTTGAACGGAAAAGCTACAGTACGCGCATTAAATGCACATTTAATGTCTCCCGTACTTTGTAGAGTAATTGCAGATGATTGGCCGCAATGTCAGGATTACCTTATCCCAAAATAGTAACCCGTCAACTTTACCAGGTCCTACTGGTCAAGTCAACTGCTCGCTCATTTAATGCAGTTGTCCTCCTTCTCCTCTAACGGGAAGACAACCTCAGTATAAAAGATACACTATGAAGAACAACCAGATAACTTTGCTATAACTTTTGCTACAACTCTGCATACAAGATAAAAAAACGCTAAAAACGCAAAAAGCCTCCTTGAGATTAAAACTTCATCATCTTCTACAAGAGAAGGCAGAAGTTGGAAAAATCCTTATTTCCAACTCAAGCAAAGTTCTAAGTGTTCTTCAACTCTTCAAGCTCATCACATATAAACTCTTTGTAACGAAGCAAGTTGGAGGAACCTCTGTTCTAAATAGAACCTCTTCTTTCACAAGAAGGACGTCCAAGTACCTAGAGCAGTGAAGTGGTGATACTTCTGGGAAAGCTCAATGAAAGGACCAGTCTTAGGGAAGCCGGAAGTGCATCCAAGAAGACATCTACACTTGAAGAAGACGTGGAGAGCTTCTTAAGTGATAGGGCTAAGGCATTGTAAACGGACGTTTTTACAAGCTTAGTGGAACAGTGGACTAGAGGAACAAGTTGTTCCTTGAACCACTATAAAAAGCCCTGGTGTCATTTACTTACTGCATTACATTCATTGTTTTTATTTGAACTATTTAACTCCAAAGACTTGGTATCTGTGTTCAGCAGAACTTGTCTTGTGAGTTAACAGAAGGCCTACTGCCTTTGCTTCTCTGAGGCTACTAACAGAACTCCCTACCAGAACCCCATCCGCTGCCAGTCTGTTCTGCCAACAGAACAGGCTATTCTGTTAAATCTGGTACTTAGCTTGAAAAAGTTAAAAACCAATACAGTCTATTCACCCCCCCTCTAGACTGTATCCAGTACAACCGGGACCAACACTAGATATGGGCATTTGAGTTTTCAGGCGCTAAATAAGATGTCAAACAACTCATTGGTGGAGGGAATGCCCAAGATAGGTCAGGTAAGTCACACTTGTGAAGGGTGTATGCTGGGCAAGCAACACGTGACTTCTTTTCCACAGAAGTCATCATTTAGAGCACAAGGAAGGCTAGAGTTAGTTCACTGTGACTTGTGTGGACCTATAAATCCATTAACATCAGGAGGTATGAATTATTTTATGCTTTTGGTGGATGATTACTCTCATTTTATGTGGGTTACACTCCTCAAACATAAAGGAGAAGCATTTGAAAGTTTTAAAAGGCTTAAACGTAAACTCGAAAGCAAAGATGGGATAAGAATCAAATGCCTGAGATCTGACAGGGGAGGAGAATTTACCTCCCAAGAATTCAACTTATTCTGTGAACAAGAGGGAGTTCAAAGGCACCTTACAACACCCTACTCACCTCAGCAAAATGGGGTAATGGAAAGGAGGAATCAAACCATTATGGGAATGGTGAGAAGCATGATGAAAAGCATGTATGTACCTGGCAGATATTGGGGAGAAGCAGTAAATACAGCAGTGTACATCCTGAATAGGTATGTGAGAAAAGGTGTGAATGATAAGACACCATATCAAGTCTGGTATAATAAGGCTCCAAGAGTCCATCATTTGAGGGTGTTTGGTTGTCTAGCTCACATCAAAGTAGTAACACCTCATCTACAGAAATTGGCAGATAGGAGTGTTCAGGGAGTCATGTTGGGATATGAGGAAGGAACTAAAGCATACAGGCTGGTAGATCCCACACTTGAAAGAGTGATAATCAGCAGAGATGTGAGATTTGAAGAAGACAAGAGTTGGCAGTGGAGTTCAAAACCAGAGGAAGAACTAGAAGCAGGACAAGATACTTATATAGCAACTGTAAACAATATTGAGTCTGCAGGAGGAGAAAGAAGCACAAACAATACAGTAGTAGATCATGAAGGTTATGATGATCATTTGAACAATGATTTCAACATGAACACACCAAGGTCCCATACTTACTCCAGTTCCAGTGAAGAACCTCAACACTGTAGATCACTGCAGGAGATCTATGACTCAACTAGAGAGATCACAGAGGAGGTCAGTTTATGTTTTATTTCTATTGATGAACCTGAAAGTTTTGATGAGGCAGCAACTATGAAAGAGTGGAGACAGGCTATGGCATTGGAATTGGAGTCCATACAGAAAAATGGAACTTGGGAGCTCTCAGAACTTCCAGAAAATCATAAGGCTATAGGGCTGAAATGGGTATACAAAGTCAAGAAGGATCGTGAAGGGAATATTACAAAATACAAAGCAAGACTTGTGGCAAAGGGGTACATACAAAAATATGGAATTGATTATCTGGAAGTATTTGCACCTGTAGCAAGAATGGAGACAGTCAGAACTCTACTAGCACTTTCAGCTCAAAAGGGATGGTTAGTTCACCATATGGATGTTAAAACAGCTTTTTTGAATGGTGAACTAAAAGAAGAGGTATATGTCAAGCAACCTGAAGGTTTTGTGAACAAAACCTGTCCTGATAAAGTGTTGAAGCTACATAAGGTCCTATATGGGCTCAAACAAGCTCCAAGAGCTTGGAATGTGAAGTTGGATGGGTGTTTAAAATCATTGGGTTTCAAGAAATGCATATATGAACATGCTGTATATGTGAAGCACACTGACATGGATGTAATCATTGTTGGAGTGTATGTTGATGATGTTTTTCTTACAGGGTCAAACTGCAGGTCAATACAAGAATTCAAACTAAAGATGATGCAGATATTTGAAATGAGTGACTTAGGATTGCTCAGCTATTATCTGTGACTTGAAGTCAAACAAGAAAAAGGAGCTACAAGCTTGAGTCAGTCAAGTTATGCAAAAAGGATACTTGAGCAAATGGGAATGAAAGATTGCAATCCCTGCAGCATACCAATGGAGCCCAAGAGCAAGCTGAGTAAATTTGATGAAGGTATGCTAGTTGATGCTACTTTGTACAGAAGTATAGTAGGAAGTTTGAGGTATTTGGTTAATACACGTCCTGATCTAGCCTACTCAGTAGGAATTGTGAGTAGGTATATGGAGGTTCCAACCAAAAATCATATGAATGCAGTAAAACAAACTTTGAGGTACATTAAGGGTACTTATGATATGGGTTGTGTATTCAAATTTGGTGAAGAAGACAATGTGCTAGTTGGATACTGTGATAGTGACTTGGCAGGTGACGTTGATGACAGAAAGAGTACCACAAGAATCCTGTTTTTCTTAGGAGAAAGTCCTATAACGTGGGTGTCACAAAAACAGAAAGTGGTGGCACTCTCTTCATGTGAGGCAGAATATATTGCTGTCACAGGAGGGGCCTGTCAAGGGATCTGGCTCATGAAGTTATTAGACAGCCTGAGAGCAGAAATCAAAGCTAAACCAGTGCTAAAAGTTGATAACAAATCAGCCATAGCATTGGCCAATAATCATGTGCATCATGAAAGAAGCAAACACATTGACACAAAGTTTCACTTTATACGTGAGTGTATAGAGAAGGGAACTATAGGTCTAGAGCATGTAAGAACTGAAGGGCAGCTAGCTCATATACTAACAATGCCACTTGGGAGGCAAAGGTTTACTGAGCTCAAGACAAAGATAGGGATTCAACACATCAAGGGGGAGAATGTTGTTAAACTTGTTAGTTAATATGGTTTTGTTTTTCTTTTGTTTTTGGTTTTTATGTTTTTCGTACATGTTTAAACATGTTTAGTGGTGTACATGGGCCAGTTAGTGGGGAGGTTTTTTAATCCACTTAAACTAACCGACACCCCCTTCATTTTTGATGAATAAATGAATGGTTTGGGGATTGGTGATGTTTAATACGGTTTTTCCTTCTCATTACTGCATTCAATCAATCTTAAATAAATATATATAATTTCTATACTTCATGCGTGTAGTCTTTCATATCTGTGTGTTTTGTGTATGTATGCATGAGTTTTAGTACGTAGTTCAACAGGAGCATCGTTTTGGCTTTATTACGTTTTCCGGCTGGGTTCTTCAACTCACCATTGCCGCTGGGATGTTGCCGGAGCCTAGTGGGGGTGGGTTGGTTTTGTATTTCCGGCAGGTTACTTGCTTTGCTTTCTTTCCAGCCTGACCGCCGGGGGATCGCCGAAACCTGGTGGGGTGGGGGAGGGAGTACGGTGTCATGAGCGAGCATGACGGGTGTCTGGTTTCTTTCGCTATTGGTTACCAGACAGAGCTCTGCCGGCGACGGCGACATGCAAGTCAACGGCGTCTGACAGATGGAGTTGATTGGCCGCCAGCCTAGCTCTCCTGTCGGCTACTGTAGCAACACGTGGGAGGATTTGAATTTCAAAGCTGTGCGGCGCGGAAGAGAAAGAGATGGATGGCTTCAGATCTGGGCTGAACCCTAACGCCTTTGGGCCGCTGGGTGAGGTTGCCTTAGACGCCGGGTAACTCTTGCTTGGGCCGCTGCTGCAGCTTGTTTCACTACTGCTGCTGGATTTGTGGGCTTCATGGTAGAAGCAGGTGGACCGCTGGGGAATCTTAAGGGCTTCGGAGCTTTAATTAGCTCACTGCCTGGTTTTTGCTGATGGGATTATTTGACACTGCTGGAGCAGTTACTGGGCCGCTGGAGCAAAGCTTTTTGGAGGATTGGGCTTCATTGCTTCGGATCCCTTGGACATTGTGGATGGTGGACAGATTTACTTTGACGTTTTTTATACGAGCCGGGGCCTGTGCTGTGCCGTTTTGGACTCTTTTGAAAAACTCTCTCCCCCGCCTACCCTGCAAGGGGTGGACGGGGGTTGAATGATGGATACCTTTTTTAGTTAGATTAGCTAGCTAGATAGTTTTGATACATTGTATTATGTTATTTTTGGGTGTCTAATAAAATTACCTTTCATCCAAAAAAAGAACTAAACTTGGGCCTAGTTTTTACCCATATTTTTTGGGCCTAGGGCACCCGCCCCCCTTGCACCCCTAGGACCGCCCCCGTTTGAAATTGAACATCCCGTGTTGGCTTGTTGCTCATTCGCTCATGTCAAGGTTTGTATGAAATGGAGTTCTGAATTTTTTATTCTTAATTCATCTACTTGAAGCATGGGCAAAGTAAAATATCCATGAAGACGATGGCCATGTCTGTATTTTGGCGGTTCAGAGCCTAAACACTCCAAAATATCCCTAAAGGTCCAAGTGTGATGGAGCCCAACGAGTATAAATCAAAAATGATGAACCCTCGTACGATTGTTCCTCGTCCGGGTATGGCCGTTCGGCTTATCCCGAACGTAGTGAATATGGTGCTTGGCCATAGGGAACGCCATCCACAGAAGATCAGCTCAGGACCAGTGCCGATCCTAGCAAAACTCGGGCCTGAGGCGACCATCATAAATGGGCCCTATATATAGTGTTTGTTTGTCATATACTCATATAATTCATTAAAATTCAATGATTAAATATACAAAATCACAATTCTTAAATAAGTCTTACATGATAACAAAACGTCACTGAATGTACTAAAAACTAATTAAGTACAACTCGTCGAACGGTTTTAGATGCAAAAGTATTTATCACGTCTGCATAATCTATGTCATCAACAAATTCCTTCTCAATTGATAACATAGCTAATCCATTCAACCTTTCTTGAGACATGGTTGACCGTAAAAATGTTTTTATCAGCTTCAACTTTGAGAAACTTCTTTCTGCACTTGCTACTGTCACAAGTATCGTCAGCAAGATCTTATATGCAATGTATGCATTAGGAAAACATCCATTCATCCTTTTCAAATAATTCATCACATCAATAGCAGATTTTGTTTCCTCTGGTAAAGAGTATTTCAGCAGTGTCAACTCTGAAAACAACTCATCACCATCAACATCAGAACATTCACAATGTGTTAAAGAAGTCTGAAGATTCTTGCAAGCTTGGAGTATACTTTCATCATCAACACCTTGTAACTTCCTCAAATGAAATAAAAACCCAAACGTTTCTCTGTACTTCTTAAACTCTTCAAAGCGGCTTTCTATAGACGTCTGGGCTTTATCCATTATAAAAAGAAAATATTCAAGCCGAAAACTCTCCTCAGCTGACCGTGTGACTTCTTCACTGCTACTTTCATCAAATTGCTTCTTTCTTCGAATAATTCGTTTTTCACGAAATGATGCTTCAATTCCGAGCATATAAGCCATTTCTTTGGCTTCATCCACAGATTTTTCAAAACCAGACTTTCTAAATTCTTCAACAAATAGCACAAGTCCTTGCATAAGATTTAGAGCAACATCAATATCCATATTCTCAGATTGAAGAAACTTACCAACTGTGTTGATAGCATTGAGCAACTTCTACCATATCACCACACCTAGCAAAAACTCGAAATTCTTGAGTTCATATATTATCAATGATTCAGCCTCACTTTTTGTCTTCGGATCGTCAGTGTCATTTGTCAAATCGATTAAAGCTTCTCTGATTTGCACAATTTGCTCTTTTATAGCTTTGACACTTTCAACATGGCTCTCCCAACGTGTTTGAGACAATGGTTTAACTGTCAAGCCTATAACATGATCTTTAAAAATCTTCCATCGCTTTGTAGATGAGGAGAACAATGTATATATGCGTTGGATCACTCCAAAAAAAGACATAGCTTTAGTCGAAGAGTTAGCCATATCACATAATGTCAAATTAAGACTATGACAACCACAAGGAGTGTAAAAGGCCCTAGGATTGACTTCAAGTACTCTTTTTTGCACACCTTTATGCCTCCCTTTCATATTAGATCCATTATCATATCCTTGACCCCTTATATCATCAATATGAAGTCCAAGATCCGTCAAAGCATCTTGCAGGTGTGTAAAGAGTCCAAGCCCGGTAGTGTCTCCCACCTCAAGAAATTGCAACCAGTATTCTGCTATCATTGCAGCATTGCGCGAGTCATCCAGACATCGTATGATCAGAGACATTTGTTCTTTGTGACTAACATCTGGAGTACAATCAAGGATAATAGAAAAATACTTTGCATGCTTCACTTTTGCAAGTATTTTTTTTCTAACCTCATTTGCGAGCATTTGTATCAATTCATTTTGAATTCTACCTCCAAGATATGTAACATAAGTCTCATTATCCTTAATACGACGTAGGTGCTCTTTCATGATCGGATCAAACTCGGCAACCATTTCAATCATTTGTAAGAAAATGCCATTATTTTCCATGTATGGCTTCTCATAGCTTCCTCGGAATGCCAAGTTATTTTTGGCCAGCCTTAGGACAATAGCAATTATCCTTTGCAACACTTGTTTCCAGTGTTCTTTTTCTTTGTTGAGTTGGGTTTGTAAGGAAGCATCAATGACCTTATGATTGGTTAACCTAGTTTCGAGTTCGAGCCAACCAACCATACACTCCATATGTTCCTTGATCACTTCATGTTTCTTCAAGCATCGAACCAGATTATGCCAATCATTGAAGCCCCCATTAGCTAATGGACTGAAATCGGGTCTTGTGTTTTTCTTGAAAAGCTTGCAACAAAAACAGAAAATTCTGTCTGTAGAGTTTGAGTATATTAGCCATCTTCTGTCATTTGGTTCCCCATTCGGCAATATTCTTTTATGTTGTGATGCTGCAAAATGTCTCCCTGCATCATCTTTAGGAAACAAACAACGACCATCTCTCTTGGGACCTCTTTCTATAATAAAGTCTCTAAACTTCTGGTCAACGTTCTTCCATTGCCCAGGATCATCGAACAATATCAGCTGACTTGGAGGGTCACATTGATCGAACTCATGATCATCATCAGCAGCAAATGTAGGTTGAAGAACATTTTCAGGATCACTGTCTTTTTGTAAATTGTTAAGCTCAATTACTTCTTCATCAACATCCACCACATTTGCATCAACAGTGTCATCAACATCAATTATTACATTTTCTTCATTCTCATTTGATGCGCCCTCCTTTTCACCTGTTACATTTTGTGAAGATGTACTCTCCAAAGTGGCTCTTTTATTCGAAAAGTACTTATTAATGTTTCCAACCTGACTTTGAGTTAACGATTCAATACGTGATTTCCTTTTCCTCTTTTGAAATCCAGACAAATGTTTGGGAGCCATGGTGCTAAAAAATAAAAAATACATAATTTAGTGGTATCTTTAACAATACACATTAGTGATTTTTCGCTAAAAAATACAAAGCATATAATATTATAATTTAATTAATTGTAAATTGAGAATTCCATAATTGCAATTTTGATAAATGATAACCCTAAATAAAAATAAACAAGCAAAGAATGAACTAATATATACAAATAAGCAAGAATCCATAGCTATAGTCGGTAGAATCAAGCCCTAAGTTAAAGCTAGAGGAAAAAAAAAGTTACCTGCGAAGCAAATCCCAGAGCACTGAGCAGTCAAGCAGAGAAAGGAGAAGGTCGGCAAGGACTTCCTCCAGAACCAGGGGCCGACCGGCAAGGATTTTCTCCCCTCCTTCAGTCCTTCGTTGAGTCGTTCGTGAGTCTCTTCACCTCTTCAGAGTCCGGAGTCTTCCGTCTTCGCCTTTTGCTTCAGCCGCTAATTGCTCGTACCTTCTCTTTCCCAAATCGTAGGGGCTGGTTATTTTTACTTTGGTGGGGTGATTAATTAGATATAAAGTCCATATGTATAATATTGATTTTTGAAAAAAATTGGGCCCTTAATTTTTCCAATTTTTTGGGGCCCTGAGGCCCAAGCCTCTTGAGCCTTACGGAAGGAACGAGCCTGCTCAGGACATCTGCGGGACCTTGCAAGATAGCGGGAAGCACATTTAATGTTTGGGGTATGGGTGCTCAAGTGACAAGTATGGGAGGTCAAGTGGCAAAGAGAACATGCATTCAAAATTTGTCACATCATCCACCCCACCTACTCACTCTAAGTATAAATACCTGCATTTATTTCAATGTAAAGAGTTAGCATTTTAAAACTCACTACCAATATACTACATATTAGCTCTTATATTAGCAACTGGTCCGGAATCTCCGTTCGGCCATTTCCCTGTAATCAATATTCCCATCCTAATACATTTGGGCTATTGAACCATTTTTTGGTGGTCCATCTTTCTCATTTCCTTTTCTTCATTAGCATATTACCGATAATCAAAGGATTGTGTTGGGTCTTTGGATCCATACGAATTAACCTCAACAACATTTTCTCAAAAATCACAAAAAAATATTTTTTTGGAAGTTAAAAGCAATTGCATACACTCCCTCGATGTCGTCGTCGTTCACCTAATGGACTCCAGTGTCTCACATACTCCAAAGCGTGCATTCCTAAGGTAAAAATTCTATTTGTACACACTTTTTTATGCACATTTTTGTGAGGAGACAATTATTATTTTGTTCACAAACAAAACATGTTTGTGAATTGGATTTTCAGACAAAAAATAGTCTTGTTACATATTAAGGAAACAAATTTACTAAGGAATAAATTTTACTTTAGAATACACTATTTTAATACAGTTTGACTTTGTTTTAACACTGTTTTACAGTGTTTGATACTGTGTTGATATAGATTTATTTATTAAATAAAACAAATAAAGAAGTGAGAATTTAATTTAAGAAAATTCCGGATGACTTTGATTTAGGAATAGAGGGAGTAGTATTTACCACTGTTCTTGCTCAGCGTTCAACTTACCGAGTATATGTACTCATCTAGATTGTTCGCTCTTTGTTGATCAGTGCCGACAGTCTCTCTCGGGTACCCCCTCTCTCTCTCTATACTCTCTCTACAGCCATTCGCAAGTCAAGCATTTAGTTCCTGATGATGTAGTATTTCAAAATTTTGGAAGATTTCTTAGACTCTTAAATATTTAATTGGCCGTAATAGTTTTTTTCTCTGATAAAGGACTAATTCTTTCTTATGGGCTTACTGATCATGCATTCTTGATTTAACAGTACATCTAAATAGGGTTGGGTTTTGGCGTGGTGGCGTTTGAATTTCTTTTTACATCTGCAATTCTGCATGCTCGTAACTCTTTAAACAATTTTGTGAATGGTTTTAACTATTACTCATTATATTGCTGCATGGTTTTAATTACTATGGCATTAATAGATAACAATTACTCATTATAGGGTGAAATTTATTCAATATCACTGACATGGCTGAAGCTGTTGCACCCGTGGTTCCAAGTGATGAGTTGTTGGAGTGGGCAAAGAAAGATAAGCGCAGGTTTCTGCACGTTGTATATCGCGTTGGTGACCTTGATCGCACTATCAAGTATGCATTTTAGAGGGAAACGGTATGGCTTCTAAATCAGCTTTGTTATCTATGTGTTGCTAATTGAAATTGTATTGTGTCATTAGGTTTTACACGGAGTGCTTTGGTATGAAGTTATTGAGGAAGAGAGATGTCCCAGAGGAGAAATATGCAAATGCTTTTCTTGGTTTTGGCCCTGAAGAGTCTCACTTTGTCGTGGAACTGACATACAGTACGTTTTGGCTTTTGTTTCCTGATGAATGTGCTTTTATTGTTTGTTTGCTCTCACTGATGTCAGGACACTGTTCAACCTTATAAGTTTCATACTTTCACCACAAGCTTAAGGCCCAATTGTTGGTGTTATTTGGCTGAAATGGCTATCTGCTGAAGTTTTGGAAAGGAAAAGTCTCTAGTAACTTCTGTTTTTTACCAAATAAAGGAGTGTATACGATTGCTTCCGTTTTTTAAAATTGATTTTTTAAAGTGCTTAAAAGCGCAAGTTGGTAGTGCCTTAGAATAGAAGTGATGAAATTGAAAAAGTTAAGTCAGACTGCTTGATGAAAAGAGTTATTTTTATGTAATATTTTGTTAAACTACAAAAATGCCCTTGCACAAATCATATTCGAGCATCTACATATGGCAAGCTTTAACGCTAATCTGGTCTTTCGAAGCAGGGAGATGCGGCTACATCTCTCCTGCAATTACATCATCTAATCCAACTGAAATTCTGGTCTCGAAAATAGCAGCTTCGAAGGCATACCAAGCAGACGGCGCCATCTCGGAAAACCCGAGTGTGTGCTGTGCAACGGCCGCTAGAAATATGATGTCGATGAAAGACATCACGGCGAGCATCACTATATAGCGAGTTCAATTCGAAAGCCGTATGTGCATCATCATGTGGCGGCGGTGGGCGGTGCCGTTCACGCCGCCGGCAGACCTCACCATCCCGTGTATTCCTTCCGTGCTCATACATATGTATATTATATGTGTGTGTGGAAGGACTAGATCAAAAGGACACAGAGAGGTCGGACACAAGAGAGGTTTGACGCGGGAGGGTATAGACATAGAGATGTGGGTACTTTTGGTGTAAACTAACTAACTGACTAAATTACCATTATAATTATCCCTAAAATTTGAATTATTTACAGAACCAAGAAACAGTTAGAAGCACCCCAACACCAACTCCAACTTTTAGCTTTAAAGGGCTTAATTGAATTAGAAGTAGATATTTTAAAAAACTAATTTAATATTTTTTAGGAAAAAAGCTGAAAAGTGCTTTATTTAAGTTGTTGCAAACACTCCTTTAGTAAGTCAAAAGCTACTTATTCGGTTTATTTCATACACAGAAAATAAGCCTGCTACTGAGCGCCTTAATCATCTTTACAAAAGCCATCTTTAAAAAAAGCCATCTATTACCACTCCTACTTCGTACCTATGTTGGAACATGTAAGCAATAAGGAATTACGAGGTTGGGCACTTATACTGTAATTGTATGATATGATTTTTGCAAACTTGAGAGTAAAATGGTTTGGCGGGAATGCTCTCAAAACCAATGTTACATGTCCGAAGTCCCAACCTACCTGAGAGGATAGATATCAACGTAACTATGATCACACTCTCTTTTAATTATATCAAAATGTGTAGGGTGCTCAAAATCATAAAATGTAATAGTTTCATCAACTATTTATCAGATTATGGAGTTGACAAGTATGACATTGGAACGGGCTTTGGGCACTTTGCTATTGCAACAGAAGATGTAAGTGCTTATTTTTTAAAGTTTAGGGGGAACTAATTTTCTTATATGAATCTTTTTTCTAATGTATGTTTTTATTTTATTTTAAGGTTTATAAATTGGTTGAAGACATCAAGGCAAAGGGTGGAACCATAACTCGTGAACCCGGACCTGTCAAAGGTGGATCAACTGTTATTGCTTTCGCAAAAGATCCTGATGGATACCTCTTTGAGCTTATTCAGCGAGGCTCTACTCCAGAACCACTCTGTCAAGTAATGCTCCGTGTGGGTGACCTGGAACGTTCTATCAAGTTCTATGAAAAGGTAATTTTGTTTATTTATTAATAATTTCTTGGAAAATTGTTTTATTTGATGAATGATAGGGACCCGGGCAGAATAGTCCTAATAATAGTAACAGATTAACAGTAGTATAAATTGTGAGGAATAAGAGTTGGGAAAAACTCTGTTAGCCTTGGGCTTGGGAGAGAGAGGCACTATCAAAATTGTCTCTAGTTGCTTCTTCTCCCTTATTACGCAGGTTAGCAGCTTTCTTTGTACGCTGGATAATGGTTTTCACCATTATATCTGCCTTAGGATTTCTGAGATCTTCTCTAAATTCTGTACTTAATATAGGTAAACTGTCTAGTTCCTAAGGTTGGTATCAGAGCACTCGATCCTAGAGGAACAAGAGTCTCAAAAACCATTGGGTGATCATTCCAAAGTGAAGATGGAGAATCATTTGAAGAATTTGGAACAGACGACTGCCGAGACACGATCAATGATGGTTGACACGATTTCTGAGACACAATCGAGGATGGTCGAACAGCGTAACTGGCTGAGGGACCAAAATCATTGGTGATCTAGAGGACGATGAGGACGCTAGACGTCGTCAACTGTCTGAAAGCCAGGGCTCATCCTCATCGTGAGCAGATCTTACCATTTCGCAGGAGTCGTCGCTAGCCGATTCTTCCAGTTCGCCGGTTTCATCGCAAACCGCTTCTCACTGTGCGCAAGCTCTATCGTTTCATCAGGAGTCTGCAGCAACCTTCCTCTGAAGATAAGTTCACCAATGGTGACGATGAACACGAGGAGCAAGCATCAGTTGCCGTGGTACCTGAAGCTCGTGCAATTGCTTGATTTCTGACTCGTAATATTTCCTTCCAGTACGATTTTGTCAAGTCAGACTTGAAACCCAATCTGTTCAAGCTCATGGAACGCCGAGAGAGCTGCGAGTTAGTGGTCGCTCCAATGCGCAACACCGTCCGGGAAATGTTGAAGGAGATCTTCATCAATGGGCTGGAGGAAGAAAAAATGTGTGTTATGTATGTGGACATTGGTTTATTGACAGCTGGTGTGAAGGAGAGGGGTAAATTGGAGGCTCGTTTGCCTACATTAATTAAGGAGGTTAAGAAGTCAGGAAATATCATTCTTCTTATTGATGTAGTCCATACGCTAATTGGTTCTGGCATGGATGGGAGAGGAAGTAAGGGTTCTGGACTTGACATGGCAATCTGTTAAAGCCACCGCTTGGTAGGGGTGGGCATGGTCGGTTAACCGGGTTTTGGTTAACCAACTTTCGGTTAACCGAGAAACCGGTTACTATTTTTTAACCGAGTATCGGTTAACCATCACTTCGGTTAACCGATACTCGGTTAACCATAACTTCGGTTAACCGCTTTGCGGTTAACCAAAAACCATAAAACCACAAAATATTAACAGTAAAATCAAATATGAATAGAAACTTCCCAAAAAATGCAGGAATTAAAATAATACACCACGTATATAATTATAATACAGCAAACTTAACAAGATGCTATAATACAAACTCCAACAAACTATAATTATAATACTACAAACTATAATAATGACGTATCTAAAATCTAAAATACTGCCATTTCTTTAAAACTTTATCCATATTTAGGTATCAATCACTTCTATCTAAACTTTATAGTTTATTCATAGTCAAGTCAATGTCTATTCTACTATAAATATAATTCAATAAGTTGACAGAGTCACATATATTACAAACTCCAGCAAATATAAACTTCGTTATATTTGTGTACGACTTAAGCTAGATTAATAAGATTAATATTGAACTTTCTATTTAATACTCCGGTATCAAGGTTATTTGAGAATTGATGAAATTCTAATCTTATTAATTATTACAGAATAAAAAGTAGGCGAGTTGTTTCATATGTATCTAGGATTCCAGGTAGTGTTTTTTGAAATATACGACCAACGACCTTAAATTAGCTTACTGGTTACATACGAAGCATGTATTATTTGAAATACCGGTTAGCGGTTAACCGGCCATATCTTATTTTCAAAACCATAACCGTACCGTGTACCGTTTTTTCTTGCGGTTGGTTAACCGTACCATGATTTAATTAAAATCGGTACGGTTAACCGAAAAAAATAACGGTTTTCCGGTTTTTCGGTATGGTTAAACGGTTACGGGCTTTTGTGCCCACCCCTACCGCTTGGGCTTCAGCCTGTAATGATTCATCAGCCGAGCCAAGAGGGTGCTGTCCAGATACTGGCATACTGCTAGGGCTGCGTGAGAATGTGAGTCGCATCATAAGTGTAAATATACTTTTGAGGCCATAATAGCAGCTGTGCTACTTTATTGGAGTCATTAGTGCCAAAATAGTTGCAGTACTAGGCATCAACATGACAATATTTACTGCCATTAATGACAGTATTTTGTAATCGTGACAGTAACAATTCCTATTTCGAGAAGAAAAACATAGCAGTCCTATTTAGAATTCCAGAACGTTTTTATACCTATTTGGGGCAATTTCCCTTGAAGGCTGAGAGCAGATCCCGAATGGAAGCTCATAAAAGGTAAAGGCGACGTCTTACTTCCATGCTTACAAAATCACGAAGTGAATACTGGCTAGAAATTAATTTTGTTCAGGCAATGCATGAAATGATTCTGAAAAATAAACTCAGCGGAAATGACTATGAATCTCACTTGGAAGGGGGTGATAAATTCAAAACCGAACATTCTATAAATTCGGAGTTAAAGGTGATGAATCTTGTGTGGCTGAAGTGTTGAACCTGAGGAAATAGCTTCTGAAGCTTCATTTTGGTCGGGCATTCCCTTCAACGGTGGGAGGTTGACCTGGTAGCGTCTGCTTTAGTTTCTGCAATTGCAAGCAATTGTATTGGCTGTTGAAGTTGAATAAGACAAACTCTGCTATTACAAATAATTCTATCATTCACATGCTACTGAGGATCTGTAATGATTGGAACGAATATGGGAGGATTGTCCTTTTCCTTGCAACTCTGGTCTTTAGAATGTTGAGGAAAATGAAGAGTTATTCCTTTCTTTTCATAAAAGTTCTCTTTGGAAAACACGCAAAAAATGCTGCTATATCAATTGTGAATCTATGCTTAATGATCTCTCTAGTCTGAGGAATAGCAGCCAAGATTGGAGTTCTTTCGGAGAAAGCGAACTTCCTTCATCTGAGAGGCAAGGATGGGCCCACAGAAATATAGCTGATGCACTTGGTGATGATGAAGCTGATTTTGTATTCTCGAGATGTAAGAAATCAGACATGGGGCACTGGAGGAGAAAAAAACCTTGGGAAAAAGGATCACCGTGGTTGACATAGAGATTGAGAGGGTACCAAAAAGAAGGAAACTATCCGTCCTTGGCTATGAACTGATAGCAAAAGTTAAAGAATCTAATGAGGAGTATAAAGATTAATATCATGGTGACCGTCTCATTGCTGAAGCTCTTGATCCAAATAGGAAGGTTTTACCACTTCAGGCTGTCCGGGCTTTGGGAAATATTGCTGGTGATGCCCCAAAATGTAGGGAGCTGCTTCTTGGTCATGGTGCACTCTTACCATTGCTAGATTCAAAAATTGTTACTGTGTGCCTTGATGGGCTGGAGAACATTCTGAAGGTAGGTGAGGCGGACAAAAAAATGGGTTTGGATGGTGGGATTCATTTATATGCTCAGATGATTGACGAATATGAAGGACTAGATAAGATTGAGAATCTCCAAACTTATGACAACAATGAGATATACGAAAAGGCTGTGAAAATCTTAGAGAAATATTGGGCCGAGGAAGTGATGATGAAGGTTTAAGTAATGAACCTCATGGTCCAGCAACCAGCAACCAGTAAGGTACTGGGAAGGGAGAAGCACAAGGATGAAACTCATTGTCAGAGCTGTTTCCTACCACCCACCTTGAGGATAAGGTGGTTGTCAAATGGGGAGTGATGATAATGACCCGGCCAGAATAGTGCTAATAATAATAAATTAATAATAATAATAGTATAAATAGGAGCTGAGTAAGGAATAAGAGTTAGGCAGAAATTCTGTTTGGCTTGGGCTTGGGAAAGAAAGGCACTCTCAAAATTCTCTTTAGTTTCTTCTTCTTCTTCCTTATCACGCTGGTTAGCAGCTTTCTTTGTACGCTGGATTACGGTTTCTGCCATTGTATTTGCCTCAGGAATTCTGAAACCTTCTCTGAATTCCCTACTTAATATACATAAACTGTCCCGTTCCTAACAATGAGAAAGGTACTATTATACATCCCACTTCCATAAGGGTATGCTTGATCCCAGATATTTCCAGGTCATTTTCTTATGTTTGGTTTTACCTTGGGAAATGCAAAAAATATGAAATATTATTTTTTAATTCAAAGTTACATATATCTAGACATCTTAATCTATATATAGTTGATATTAAAAAATGAGGATCAAGTAATATCTAAGATGAACATATTGATCATATGTCTATCTTTTATTTTCCCTCATTCTTTCCTTCCAATTTTCCCAAATGTGCTTCTTCTTGTTATCTTTCCGTAGTATTCCTTGATCAATAGACCCTAAGAGATTTGAGAATTTATTTGTTCACGTGAGTATTCTATCCTGTATATGTGTAGTAGTTGAGCTAGCTCATCTTTCAAATAATACCTGCTCTTAAAATGTACATAGTGATTGCAAATTTATTTGGTTTTCCCGTGCAGGCATTAGGAATGCAACTTCTGAAGAAAACAGATAGGCCAGAACAGAAGGTAACAGAGTTGGTTTTCCTCATTTATAAGTGGATTGTGTGTAGTAACATACGAGTATCACTATGACGTTATCCATGGTTTGAACTACACAGTATACCATAGCAATGATGGGATATGCTCCGGAATATGAGACTACAGTTCTAGAATTGACGTACAATTACGGCGTTACTGAATACACCAAAGGAAATGCCTATGCACAGGTTCGTTTCACTTCTTCACCTTCATCTCTAATGTTCATTGATGAAGTTATCCTTATTTGTGTTCTTCTCTACTCTCTAGTCAAGTAATAAACATAAAGGTGTGTTTACACAGAATGTTCTCTGTCTCAATCTTCTCCCAAAGGACTAGTGAGATGAAATTTGAAGCATTATCATGGATATATCCTTTTTATGAAAATTATTAGAGAAGTCTGTTGGTAAGTTGAAACTTGACCCCCCACCCCCCAAAAAATTCTCGTTTCACCACATCTCCGTTTCCGTTTCAAATTAAGCTGCTTTGTCACGTAATGTGCCAAAAAATCACAAACAAGTTAGATATGATAATTCAGTCCAGCCAATGAATAAGGATAAAAAACTTAATTATGATTCATGATTTGTGTCGAGTGTACCTTAAAAATGCAAAAGTTGTACATTAGACAAATGTGAATGTTTTTGTGATAACAGTTGTGATATAATCATGATCCGTTGTAAGATCAATAATTCAATATTGTAAAGTCAACTTGCAAATAAATGAACATGACCTTATCAGGTTTGTTTCCCTAATTGGTTTTTTAGGACTACTTGTTATTTGTGTGGCCTACTACAAATTTCATACTCTATCTAGGTTGCCATTAGCACAGATGATGTATACAAAAGCGCAGAGGTTGTTAATCTTGTGACTCAAGAGCTTGGCGGGAAAATCACTCGACAAGCTGGTCCCATTCCAGGGATCAACACCAAAATCACTTCTTTCGTCGACCCTGATGGATGGAAGACGGTAAGTTTTCTTACTATACTTGGGTTTTGTTTAGATAGAGGGTTTTTGGGGGTGAAGGCTAATATGGCATATCTTGATATCATTTGAGATTTTATAAAAAGTGAAAGGTTAGCACACTATGTGTTCGTATATGGGAAAACTATCAAATAGGCCCTTGTAGTATAGCAAAAACAGAAATTAAACTCTTGTACTATTTAAACACCCAATTAAGCTGCACATGTGGCTTATTTTTTTTGCTGGGAAACCATTTCCTATTCTACTTGCTGGGAAACTCTTTGTATGGGAAACCATTTCCTGTACAAAGAGTCATACAAGATCGATGGAAGCTTCATTAAACTTTGAATCCTTGGAGATCTCTTGTTCTCTTGAGCTGGAATCCTATTCAGTTGAAGGTCATCCGCCATTAATGGAGATGGAAGAATCTGTGTCCTCCTCTGGCACGGTGTCACTGTCCGGAGTAAATCCAGCGCGAGAAGGAGGATGAAGGTGTGTTTGATTGTCAGAGCTATTGTTCTATTGGTAGTGATACTCTCCGCTTAGGTGTCCACCTCATCATAGTCGCCGTCCCAGGTTTGTGGAATAGCTCAGTGTTTCCACTATTCATCTGCCCAACTTCCCGCATCTCGTCGCCTCCCTCCTGCGCCTGGCTTCTGCCTTGCCCGTCGACATCCAAGGATTCCAAGCCGCTGCAGCTGATGTTGCTGCCATGGCAGAGCTTCATCCTTTGAGCTCGTCTTCATCGGTGAGTCCTTTTTACAAGAAGATTGACTGAAGCTCGTCTTCATCGGTGAGTCCTTTTTACAAGAAGATTGACTGAAGCCTTGGAAAAACCACGAAGGTTACTGGCAAAAAAATGAAATAAAAAATAAAATATTGCTCACTCAAGCTAAGATTGATAGGTTGACCAAGAAAAGAAATAAAATAAAACTGTTTTTTATTGGGTGTTCTTTGAAAGTTTGGGGGGAATGATTAGGTGTTTATATAGTACGAGGACTTAATTGCCATTTTTGCTATACCACGGGGGCCTATTTGACAGTTTTCTTTAAAATATTCCATTCACCTTTTATTCATTTTCTGAAACATGATATGAGATCAGTGATGGTTATAGCCTTCCCCCACCACAGACTGTCTAAAACAGTTGGAAACCCTAATTGTACTACCGCATGATGCAAACACTTACATACAAGATAGAACCTCTATACAATTATCTCTCTACCTATGGAGGAAATTAAATAATGAACTCTCTGTTGCTTGACTTGGAACGTCCGTCTACATGCATCGCCATGCAAAATGCAGGCTAAGGTCATATGTAAAAAAAATTGGTTAAGAATCATCAATTACTGTTAAACCGGTGGTATTGTGTTAATTAGGTTCTGGTTGACAATGAAGATTTTCTGAAGGAGCTGCAGTAACCACCACCAGTGTTGATGCTTTGTTTCAAACTTATCTTTCAAAATCAATGAGTTACCTATCTCCTTCCGTAGTCTGCATATTCTATGTAATTTTCAACTGTTTTAGTTACAAACTAATACTCCAGTCCCTTTAAAGTTGTTCTCGTTGAGAGCATGGTCTATGTTATATTATCTTATAATATATACTCTCTTATGTTAAGCATGCAAAAGTTGTATTCTAAAGAATACAATCTCTCACAACCAACTGTGTTCCTAATAGTGAGGAACTTGACTTTATGCAAATAGGTTGATGGCAATGTTCTAAAAGGCGTTAGGCGCTAGTCGGGCGCCAGACTGGCGCCTATTTGGTTAGGCGGGTGCCTAGTGGGGACTAGTCGGAGACATAACAATTGCATTTTATCTATATATTTACATAAATATGTTAAGTAATATTGTATTTTTGTGTGTATAATATATATATATATATATATATATATATATATATATATATATATATATATATATATATATATATATATATATATATAGACACACACACATACATTAACAAACATATGTAGTACTCCCTCCGTCCCCTATAATTGTCTCATTTTTCAATTTTTGGGTGTCCCTTTATTATTGTCCCATACCATATTTAGTAACATTTGTGTGGCTCTAATTCATTCTTACATTATTTCCACTTTATCAACTCATTACCAATCACATAGTTCCACTTTTCTTAAAAACCACACCACTCCCTTCCGTACCAAATTACCAATATTAGGGGGACGGAGGGAGTATATGATAACTAATCACTTAACTTAGAGATGGACTCAGGCCGGGCAAACCGGACCGGCCCGCTGAATTGGTTGGTTTGCCCACTTTGCCGGTTCGGGCCACCTGGCCCGGTGGGATGGCGGTTCGGGCTCGGGCCCTTGAAAAGGTGAATCGGCCCGGCTAGGGGTGGACCGGTTCCAGTTCGGGCCTGGTTCGGGCCTCGGTTCAAGAAATGGAGGCCCGGGTAACCCCCGGGTCCGGGCCGGGCCGGGCCTCGGTTCTATTTTTTTTTTTGGGCTTTTCCTAGTTAACCCCCAACCCTCCCCCTCACCCCCAAACCAACCCTAACCACCTCAAATGGCCCAAAATATCCAGCCCAACCCAAAAACTTTAAAAAAATTCAAAAAATAAAAAAGACCCGGCCCGGGCCCGAACTGGCCGGGCCGGTTCACCTTTTGGAGGGCCCGAGCCCGAACCGTCATCTCACCGGGCTGGTTGGCCTGAACCGGGCCCGGAACCGGTTCACCGGTCCGGTCCGGGCCCGCACAGTAGCGGGCCGGTCCGGTTCCGGGCTAGTTGGCCCCGCCCGAGTCCACCCCTAGGCCCGGCCGGTTCGGGCCCGGGCCGAGCCAATTTATTTTTTTGTTTTGATTTTTTTTAAGTTTTTGGGTTGGGTTGGGTATTTTGGGCCATTCGAGGTGGTTTGGGTTGGTTTGGGGTGAGGGGGAGGGTTGGGGATTAACTAGGAAAAGCCAAAAATAAAAATAGAACCGAGGCCCGGCCCGGACCCGGGGGTTACCCGGGCCGGTTCCGGGCCTCCCTTCATGAACTGAGGCCCGGACGGGCCCAGGCCCGAACCAGAACCGGTCCATCCCTAACTTAACTTCATTATGTTATAAATAATAATAAAATATAGGTATATATTTGGGCCCAAACCGGAATCGGTCCATCCTACATTTATTTTAAATTACATGTGAAAGGTTAATCGCATCATTTCACTTATTGTTCATAAAAAATACCATTAATTTTTTAATAAGTCAGAAAATCCAGTTTAAAAGGACATATAAAGGTCTTCTGTTTAATTTTCTTTAAAAGAAGGTCTTCTGTTTTATAAGTAAAAAGCGTGTTAGAACGGCGGAATAAATCGGTTCTGTCGGTTTTGGTTGTGGTTCGAGGCGATATGTGTGGTCGGACGGTAGCATGATAGGTCGGTTCCGTCGAATGCTTTGGCCGTTGCTGCGATGGACTTCCAGTAGCCTGTTGTGGAGTTGATTAGGGAGAGGGTGAGAGAGGGTAGTGTCGGTTGATTTTGTGGGAGGGTTTTTGGGAATGAACCGTTGGCTATTTGGCTAAGTATATATGGGGTGGGTTGTGTGGTTCATCGATGCTACAAATCTCTGGACCAGCCCATTTTAATTTTTGGGATGTTACCAACATTCTTCTTTTGGGCTGATTTATCATCTTAGCAATATTTTGTTCTTTTTATTGGGATTGCCCCAGGTGGGAGTAGATAACTTTATATATTTCTGAATAGGACTTTCATAAATTTAAAATATGCCAGTATTTTTCAAATGCCAGTATTTTCAAAACGTAGTTACTCCAATTTAGGTAATGAAAATGAGAAAGTCTTATTTACAATTTATCAAACATTTTTTAGTCCCGTTTCATATATTTTCTAAAATTATAAAAGTGTCGAATACGCGTTGTCCTCACGCTTTTTAAATTAATTTAAAGGGAAAAGGGCAAAAAATGACACTGACGTTGTTTAGCAATCTCAGATAGGACACTGAAGTTTAAAGTGGACCATTTAAACACATAAGCCACCTGTTTAGGTTACATTTGGCCACTCCCTAACCGAGCTGTCATCTGTCGTTAACTCCTTCTCCATAATTCATCTGCCATGAAGCTAATTCATCTGCCATGAAGATCCTTAGCCTGAAAGTAAGTGCGCTTAGAAGAAGAGCGATTACTTCCGTACGCACGTGAATGACTGGGAGTGCTTAGCTTCTGATTTTGGAATCCACAATCACGCTTAAAGGTATTCAGTGTACTTATTTCGTTTTCCTCTTAAAGGATGAGTGAGTTCGTGAACCTGCGGTTTAATCACAGTGGGAGATGGATTTTGCACTCGCAAATGAAATATGTTGATGGGGATGTCCATACAATATATAGGTTTGATCCTGACTTTCTGTGCTTTCATGACATACAAAGAACTTACAAAGAGGAATTGGGTTTCATAACACTAAAAAACATTTATGTCTTGGTACCCGGAAAAGATTTGGACAATGGACTATTTTTAGTTGAAGATGATGACACAATTAGGAAGGTTTTGAATAGGATTAGGAATTTTTCTCTGATTGATGATATAGAGTTGTATGTTGATCATCAACTGGACGAGCCCCTTCTCATTCCCCAAATAGAGTGGTCTTCTGTTCAAAATAACCAGAGTGAGAATGTGAGTAACCAAAGCCCTGAAACAGTCAATGAGGGGGTACTTCCCCAAGAAACTAGAGGGGTGCCAAATGGTTATGTAAGTGATGGGGAAGCTGAAGAGGAACCACTAGATTCTGATAGTAGCAATGAAGAAGAGGAAGCAGAAGATAGTGATGAAGATGTGAGGGTTAACTACACTACCACAGATGGATCTACTTGCTTTATTATGGGATGACTTTTGAAGATGTCAATGAGGCTAGAACTGCCATTGCAGACTATGGTGTCAAGTTTGGCTACAAGCTTAAAATCAAACCCAATGAGAAGAACAGATTGGCTGTAAAATGTCCGAACGAGGAAGGGTGCCCATTCAGATTATGGATATCTAAAGATGGGAAGAATTCTGGCTTGGGAGTTAAAGTATGCAATCTAGAGCACAAGTGTTTCAGACACTTTTCCATCCCCCAGTGCTTCTCAGAAATGGCTAGCAAATTACTTCAAAGGTCACCTACAAAAAAATCCAAACTTTAGGGTTGCTGAAATGAAAGAGGAGGCTGAGAAAGTTCTTAAGATTAATGTCAGCTTGTACAAGTGCAAGAGGGCCAAAAGACTTATTCTTCAAGAGTTGGATGTTAGTTATAAAGCAGAGTTTGGTTACCTGGAGGCATATGCTGCTTGTATAAAGAGAAGCAATCCTGGATCAAAAGCTGAAATTGAACTGTGCAGTCAATCCTTGAAAGATGGGAGGAGAGTCTTCAAAAGAATGTTTATTTGCTTTGATGCTTTGAGGAGAAACTGGATGGGTGGTTGTAGAAGAATAATTGGGGTTGATGGTTGCTTTTTAAAGGAAGTTTGTAGGGGAAACTTGTTTAGTGCAGTAGGTGTGGATGGAGATGGGAAAATGGTTCCAATTGCTTGGGCTGTAATAGACAAAGAAAACAAGTCTAACTGGAGATGGTTTCTCACTTGGCTAGTTCAGGAACTAGAGCTTCACACCGGTGCTGAGTTAACCCTTATATCTGACATGCAGAAGGGTTTAATAATTGCTGCTCAAGAGATTATACCGGATGCAGAGCACAGGTATTGTGCTAGGCATGTTTATGCTAACTAGTCCAAGAAATGGAGAGACGATCAATTTTGTAAGAGATTCTAGATTTGTGCTGGAACACATATGAAGAAGAGTTGGAAATGAATTTGAAAAAATTAGGAAAGCTTAGCCAAGAAGCAGCCTCTGATGTGTTGAAGTATCCAATCCAAACATGGTGTCGTGCATATTTTAGTAACAAAAGTCAGTGTTGGATGGTTGATAATAATATAACTGAGTCATTCAACTCATGGATCCGGGAAGCAAGAAGAAAACCAATTGTTAGCATGCTAGAAGACATCAGGTTGAAGGCAATGAAGAGGATTGCTGAGTTTCAGGACATTCCAGAGAAATGGATAAATGAATGGTCTCCTACATGCATGGAATACTATCAAGACAATAAGGAGGCTGCAACAGGTTGTACTATAATATTCAATGGTGATATGGGGTTTGAGATAGGTGAGGGAGCTGACAAACACTCAGTTGTTTTGGATAAGATGGTATGTACTTGCAGGGCATGGGAACTTACAGGAATACCATGTTTACATGCCATATGTGCTTTGTACCATAAGAAGTTAGATCCTATGTCATTCATTTCAAAGTGGTATCACAGATCAACATACAAGGCAGCATATCAGAATTATTTGCAACCAGTTCCTGGTAAATTTTACAATGACAGAATAGCAGAATGACATACACAATGACATATATCTTCATACCATTCCCATTCATACATATGAAATCTCCAAATTGGATCTGTCATCTGTTTACAATAGCAGAATGCATACATTAAACAAAATTACAACACCATAACCTACTATATTCTTCTACCTAAGTTAACATACAAATCAGTGCAACTAGGACACACAAAAACAGTACAACTAAGTAGTTCCTCATTGTCTTTCTTTCCCTTTCCAAATTCATAACCTCAGCATTGTTGGTACTATCATATTGCAGCCTTTGATCTGAACTTTCAAATTGACAACTTCCAGTATCAAATTCTAGCCCTGCAGTGTCATCTAACATCGC